CACACGCATGCACACGTTTGGATGACACATATAGCATAAATATCTGACTGATGCTGTGCTTACTAGCAGTGGTGTGCAGTGCCACATTCATCAGATCAGATGACTGGGGAGCCTTGGCATGTCTGGCTGACCTCAGTGACTAATGCCCCCCCCCCCCATAGCTGTAAGCACTGATGTGTCCTTGAGCAAACTGCAAAGGCTCTAAGAGTATTTCATTGACACTCTCCTTCACCCTGTATCCAGTTAATGGATCGTTTTAGAATGTGCTTGTTGGTGGAGTGAGGGAGTCCTGAGTGTGGATCACACTAAAGATTTCAAACACAAGGTGGCAGCACAACGAGACGGATTCATTTCTGTTTTTTTTGTTGATATGATGATAGTATTTTAGGAACGGTAAAAAATACATTTGTGATGGTGTTAAAACTGAGCTTACTTTCTCTAAATAAACAAAGGTGGATTCTCAAAACGGGACATTTTGATTTGTGTTATGAAACAAAAATCACAAAACTATTCTCATAATTTAGGTGAGATATAAAAAAAACTATAATTAATTCTGCTAATGTTATTTTGAGTAAATCCAACATTCCCAAGGCTGCTGTAAATACTCAAGAGCAGCAGATGTGTATCTGCAGCTGAAAACAGACAAACAAGATACCAACAAATACTCTATTTATCCCTGTTTATCTGATTTGCTGAAAAGTTAATTTACTTTTAAAGATCTTTATTGAGTGGGAATCACATTTTGAACTGAGTGCAACAGACAGGTTAGGGGAGTCAAAAAGTACTCTGAGACAAACTGATGCCTTGTCGGGTTAAATCTCTCCATGGATTTAGTTGTCTATCAGAAAATACCTCTAGAATAATGTGTCTGGATTCAAATGACTTGAAAGTGGCTTAGATGGAAAGTGCGTCCCCTCAAAGAGAAACTCTCACTGTTTCTCTGTTTCTGTGTGTTTCAGCCGCTCACTCTGGTGCTCAGGTGATGGTGATCCACGATGACGACAGCAGCCGGAGCAGCGACAGCAGCATGGTGTCCATCGGCAGCAGCCTGAGCTCCGTGGTCTCTGTGGACACGTACAGCAGCGTCCACCTGGACTCCAGCACGCCCTCCAGCGACTCTGACGAAAGTCTGGATGTGTTTGGCGATTAGCCCTGCAATGTGAATTGGAGTTGATGTTTGAGTTTCATTGGATTGTTCCCAGATCGTACATGGAGGTTGGTCTCATCATTGAGTCCCTTTACAGGATTCTGATAAGGTTTACGTGTTTCTCGTTGTAAAATTATCATTTGTCTCTTTTGCTTTATTTTGGGGAAAAAATTGAATAAAAATGTTTCTTTCTATGCATTTTTGAAGTCACATGTTGATTTTGTCCAAGCATTGTTTCCTCAAGTGCCGTCTACTTACAAACTCATATGTTGTGACGTGTTAAAGCTTTTATCAGACAGACAGAGGGCAGACAGTTTAAGGGTCTAACTAGGGTTTCTGTTTCTAGCTGTGTTTGTAGCATGACTTTATGAATGGCAATATTGTTCTATAGATTGGTTCACCACTTTTGTCCAGGCTAGATATCTAGAAAAACATTTGATGGATTTAGACGAATTTTGTACATTCGTAGTATTCTCAGGAACCTACGGCTTTTGTTGTAGTACCTCCAGCAACTCACTGTTTTCTTCTATCCTGCAAATTATTTCAGTAACTTCTAGATATAAAACATAATTTTTTAAATGCTCAGTACTTTCGCATTCTCAACATGTACCTGAAATTCTCATCAGCCTTTGCTCTGCTTTGTGTTAAGACCGAATGAGCATGTGCTGTTATCATGCTAACACACTGAACTAGCATTTAGCTAAAGCACCACTGCCGAAGTACAGCACACTCATTTACTATCACTGCACAGCCTGCAAATATACATGTTAAAATGTATTTTTTGATTAGACCAATTAGGTTGGCAAAAAATAATAGTTATGTGATGATACTGTTTTTATTGTTGTATTTTTGTTTCATTCAGTGATGCCCTGCTTTCTGTTCTTCCCCATGCCCTCTGGGAGTCGCTCCTCGGAGACACGAGCTGTTGGGCTTTGCTGAAAGGCTCATGGGCCGGGCGTTAATCACTCCCACTGGCAACTCTCCAGAGATATCCTCATACTGCATCACTGCTCCTCACTTACATCAAAATAGATATTATTTGTAGAGCTGCTGAGATAATCGATCAGTTGTCAACTATTTAATTATCTGTCTATTTATTTTTTTAAATCGGAAAAACAGTCAATATTCTTTTACTTCAGCTTCTTTAAATGATGGACAAAAACTTGAGTTGAATAATCCAGGAAAATGCAGGAGTAAAATTGTGAGAAATTGGCACCATTTAGCAAAAGCAAAGTTGTAGATTTTTTATTTATTTTTTTAGTAGAGCTGCATGGGGTTGTTATTTGTGACACTGATTTGATGCTAGATATATTATAACGTTAAAGGTTTTACAAAATATGAAGCATTTAGAGCTACGTGACAATGTGCACTACTGGAGTGGGCATTACATTCAAAAATAGATTTTACATCTTGGAAAGAAATTCCAATTTTGCAAAATCATCCCTTTTCTTGACAGCAACACACAGGCTGTGTAACCAACTAATGCAACAGCGCCTTAAGAGGTGTGTGTGTGTGTGTGTGTGTGTGTGTGTGTGTGTGTGTGTGTGTGTGTGTGTGTGTGTGTGTGTGTGTGTGTGTGTGTGTGTGTGTGTGTGTGTGTGTGTGTGTGTGTGTGTGTGTGTGTGTGTGTGTGTGTGTGTGTGTGTGTGTGTGTGTGTGTGTGTGTGTGTGTGTGTGTGTGTGTGTGTCCATCCATTCAAAACTTGCCTATATGGGTATTTTTTAAGTGAATTCCACTATCTTTAGGCCAAATGTATTTTCACTTTGACTATACTTTTAAGCCAACTACAAACATAAAATCATGCATTTTGCAACTAATGTCAAAATATATTATACCAATTTCTGGAAAGAGATGCGGAGTATGACATAAGTATTAATGTAATTCTGGATCTCACCTAGTTTATAATCAGTAAAAAATTGCATAACCCTTTCTGAGAAACTTCCCATTGATTTGTGTTTGTTGACAGCTGAATCATGTTGTTTAGGAAGTGATCAGTGAACCTTCCTGTGACACTTCTTGTTTTGGATTCAGATAACACCGTGCTTCATCCCACACTGACCCCTCCTCACAGAGAGCTGGCCTCCCATGCCGAGGATGTCACGGCAGTCCATTAAAGCCGGAGTTCGAGGGGAGCGTGTGTCTGTCAGTCTGTATTACATGAGGACGACAGAGATGGAGGGCCTCGGGGATACAGTCAGCTTCTCAACCCTCAGACTCTGGGAGCAACCTGAAGTCAGTAACAGCACCCTCTCTCTCTTATGTCTTTCTCTCTTGTCCTTTTGGTCATTTTAAATTGCATTCTACTTGTTTGGTTTCTCTTTTTGTAAAGTGTTTTGCATCACTTTGTAGACATTTGGAGTGTCTTTGTGGTTGAATTATGTCCCTTTTTGGTGGTGTTGTCTCTCCTTGTGATCATGTCACCTCTCTTTGTGATAATTAAACAATAAATTAGATTAGATTAGAATTCCTTTATTGTCACTACACAGAGTACAGCGAAATTCCAAGCATTCCCGATGGTGCAATCACACATAACAGACAGTATTATCATTTTTGACAATACAAGCTAAACATTTTTAATGTATAATATAGTGACTATAATTGGACCTATGATACATTGAACAGCACATCATTTTGTACCATACAAATACAATAACAATACGTTCAAGGCAGTACAAAATGTAAACAAGTCAATAAGTAAGTTATTGCACATATTTATCAGTGCAGTTGATCATTACAAAACTATAAATAAATATGTGTTCTATAAAAACGGTATGAGGTGGAATAATAAGGTGAAGTTGGATGTAAACATGTAATTAGTTGAGCTTGAGCATAAATTCAGTTCAGTTCCATTTGTGCTGTGATTGTCTGGCTGTGTTCAGCTCATGTATGGCATTGGGGTAGAAGCTGTTCTTATGTCTCTTTGTCCATGTTTTTGATGGACCTGAACCGTTGGTAGCAACCTCAAAGAAAAGGCTAAGACCCAGGACCCTCCTAACCTGTTCAGTAATCTGTCCATCCTTTTGGCTCTCAGCATCTGAACCACAATCAGTTTTTGGTGCATTATGTGCCTGACTCTATCCATGTCATGGCAGTATTAAATAGCTACAGCTGACAAGGGAAGGGCTTGAAGAATAATATTCACCTCTATTTCAGTCTTGTTTTTAGACTTTTTTGAAAACCAGAAAACCATATTTTATTGTTTTGTTTCACTTATTTTCTGTTATTTAATAACAACCAGGATTATCCTAAATTGATATTCAGTGATATATACACGCAGCTTTCCACCTGCTCTGTGTTGTTGTTCAACTTGTTTGTATGAAAGATGGATTCACTCCAGTATGCTTATCCAAAAAGCCCATGCTCCATCTGCCAGCTTTGCAGAATCCAAATGTTCCTCACAGCGTGATCAGGCCGAACACTGCTCCAGCTCCAGCTCCAGCACAGCCTCCTGTAACACTGATGTCACACAGACCAAAAAATACAATAATTCAGCAGTCCTATCCATTTTTTGTCGCCCTTTTTGGGCTGCATCAAGTGGGCTGCTTTAAAAATACAGTCATAAGTATTGTGTTGCATTCCTGAAAATCGGAAATTCAGCTTTTATAACAGTTATATTTATGCAAAGCTATTGTTAACTCACAATTCCAATTGCTACACCCTGTGTTCTCCACAATTCCTTTATCAGATATCCTCTAGTAGCAACACATGTAAATGCGAAAAGTTTTAGCTAGTTACAGCATGTTAAAAATAAAAAAAACACTTGCCGTAAACGTAGACTGGCCGTAACGCAAGGTAACGGTCAGTGCTGAGTGCTCAGATGTCCGAGGTTCGGAAAGTAAACACGAAGCGTCCTGTTACCAAGGAGACGATTTTAGCCAATTCCAGTGCACTGCAGGTAAAGTTAACGTTTGAACGGACTGCATTCAGTTATTTGTATGTAATTATATGCTTTTAAACCAAGTTAAGCATGACTATTTTTACAATTTTTTGTAACGATTTACTGGACAGCAGTTGTAGTCAAATATAAAAATGTTAGCTAACATTAGCATGAGGGGTCTGCGAGCTCATAACTTTTTAGAAACAGTTTTGGCTAGCAACAGAATGTGGCTGCATACGGTAGCTGTATTTATAGAATTACTTATAATGTATGTATACGTTTATTTGAAAATACTATGCTGTGATGTGCAACTTTTAATGTCTCTTTAAGGTTTTCTGAATCCTGCAGCCATGTCCAGGTCCCCTGACCCCCCTGAGGCTGCAGACCCCAGGCAGTTGAGGAGGATCATCGCTGAAGACGCTCACTGGTTCCTGAACACAGTGCCTTCTTTATCCAACCTCTGTCTGCAATCTATTGTGAACCACTTCGAGGGTATGCTGTGGTTTTAAATATAGTTTTTATCAGGGTTGGTTCAGATTAAATTGAAATGTAGTCAGTTTCCTCAATACAAACTACATCATTTTGGATTAAGAAACTAAATCTATTGGACTACAAATGTTTTTAATGAAATCTAAATAGCTTTTAATATTTCAAATCTGAAAATAGTTCACCTTGTATTGAAAAAATGGAGACAGCCACAACAAATAATTCCACAAATATTATTATTTGTTTACACTTTAAACATGTCTCACTTAATTAGATAATTAAATAGCAAAGGAAATGCAAATATTACCATTAATTATCATGAAAGAAAGTTTCAAAATTGCCATATTTTCAAGACGTGATCAAATTCATCAAGTAATCTATGCCAATGTAACTATAATATAATTTAAATGTAATCTGGGTTGAATATAGTAACACATAATCCACATTACATGTAATCCGTTACTACCCAAATTGATGATAATACACACACTTTTACCCACTTACCTTTTATATAACTGGAACTTTTTTCAAACTTTCCTGTTACAGAAAGGCCCATATGGGAAAACCTTTCCCCCGTCCACAAAGACTTTGTGCAGGAGAGACTGTCCACCTCCATGCCCCTGCATGTGACAGCCAACCTGATCCACGACGGGGTGTACTGGAAGCGCTGCTGCGAGAAGTGGGGGGGCATTCGTGACCTAACTCATTATGGCAACAGCTGGAAACGAATGTTCTTTGAGAAGCACATGGAGAACATGATTGAGCTTTTTATCCCAGATGTAACGGAGCCAAAGACCTTTGTAGAGATGGTTCCTCTTTGTAAGGACTACATCAAGAGGCTAAACATCTCCCAGCTCCTGCCGCCTGTCACGGAGCCGCAGAAGGAGGAGGAGGAATATGGCTCCGAGTTGGTCATTGAAAATGAGGACGGACCCTCCATGGACCACTTTGACTTTAACATCATGCTCGACAAGCTGACAAACCTGGAAGAGTTCCATGTAGTGTACAGGGTCAAACAATGTGGTCTGAACTTCGAATGTAAGATGTTTGAGATGACCCACAGAGATTGTGAGTCCCTCGCCAAGGCTGTGAAGTCCTGTAAGACTTTGAAGGTGAACAATGATTCCTCTTTACTAAATCATGCAGCCATTTGTAGCTCCTTTGCCTAAATATGTGGAGTATGTTTGCCAGCTGCAAGGCATCATTTACACATTTTACAGTCCCTGATGTCCTGAAACAGGAAAATTGTTGTTGGAGCAGGAAATTCATGCTCTATTTATGTCAAATAAAGAACTGCAGGGCCTCTGGCTGCAACCTAAATAAGTCACTATTTGACGAAAGTTTTGTCACATTAATTTGTTACTGCATGAGAACAGGGAATGAATCCGCTACTGATCTCTGTGCAAGACATGGAAACTGTAAAAGATATTATTGGACCTGTTATCAAGCCTCGAGCTTACGAGTCAATTACATTTTCACTTAATAGTTAAGATTAAAATATACTAGAATAAATATAGAAAAATGCCACGACAATTTCCTCGACGCAAATTCTGACTGCTTGTGTCCGAAATGTAAAGATATTGAAGTTCCAATGATAAAACAGAGAAAATCAGCAAAGCCTCACATCAGAACAGTATCAGACATTTTATTTTATTTCACTACTCACCTCATGTATGTGCGCATGTGCGAAACAGTGCCTCATTGTTCTGTGTTTTTGTGGCGTGTTCATACTGTCAAAGGAAAATTAGCAGCTCGTATTTTTACATTCCACGCCCCATGACATCTTATCTGTGCTCTGATCTATTCAGTTGTTTGTTCAACTCACCATATAATCTTCATAATATTTCCACAGATTCTAAGGCTCAATCTAAGTCACATGGAGGATACAAAGTGCCGGCTGCTGGTGAAATACCTTCTGGACCACCCGTCCCTGAGGGAGCTCGACCTCTCTCACAACCTGATCGGAGACAAAGGAGCCAGAGCCATCGGGAAGCTGCTCAACAGGAGCAGCCTGGAGACCCTGAACCTGTGTGACAACAATATCGGAGGCCCCGGGGCCAAAGCTCTAGCTCATGCCTTGTCCATGAACTCTACCCTGTTGTCACTCAACCTGCGTCTCAACCGTTTGAGAGATGAGGGGGGGCAGGCGATCGGGAAGGCCTTGCTGAACAACAACACACTGCTTCTCCTGCACCTGGGAGCCAACGAGGTCACATGGCCCTCTGCCATCGCTCTGTCTAAAGTGCTGGTTCAGAGAAGCACCCTTAAGAGCCTCAATCTCTCCTGCAACAACCTGGGAGTGGTAAGTCAATTGCTTTTACTACACGTTTATGATCAGAGAGGGCAATACAAATAAAGTTGAACCTGAGGGCGGTGCTAGAGAAAAGGCGATGTTGTCAATCATCCACATCAAAGGGTAACATTGCTTGTCAAGCTTAATTTGTTCCAATTTTTTTTAGAACATTATTCATTCAGCTCAATGTCGTATAAATGCTTATCTCTATTTACAAAAAGGACCCATAAAACGATATTATCTATATTCAGATAAAGAAGACAATAAACAGATGATGCAAATTCAACAGCATTATATTTTCTGATTGGAACAGTATCGAAAATAATTACACAAAAAAGAAGGAAAAATATTCAAATTGAGGAAAATAAATAATAATATTAAGTAAAAATGTACAAGTTAAAATAAATAACAGACATCAAATAAAAAATCTTAGAAAATAGAATCAAGACGTGGCACTAATTGTATTTGTCAAACTATTAATGTCAACTCTCAACTTTTTTTTAACCTTCCAAGAAAATGTATTGAAACAAATAACCTTCATATTACTAAATGAAAGGAATCGTTCATCTAGAAATCAATATATAAATGTTTTTCCAAAAAGAGGAGGCAAGGAGAAATGTGTAAAAATGTGTATCTTTTAAATTGTGTTTCTACTAGAAACTAGAACTAGCACAGCGCGTGGCTCTCTGTGTAAGATCTTATGAAACACTGGGTTATTTTCAAATACTGGATTTCCGTCCTAAGTCATGCTGGTGCCTGCACAGACAGCATGCCTTGGAGAAAACAGACAGAATAGCTTGAAAGAATCAGGCCCATACATTATCCATATATGTGTGGAAAACATGAAATAATAGAAAGCTACAGTCAGTAAGTAAGTGAGTGTTTCCCTGTGAGAGGTATATACGGTTTTCCCCTTCTCATGCTCTCTACCTCTTTATAAAGTGACTGGAATACACTGCGGAAGATCAAAAATCACACGCAAAGCAGAAATGCAAAGTGCCGTACCATCAATATCTGTGACCTTGGTTCACAGAAATAGAACGCCTGTTTCAGAAAAAACAATAAAACATTGGTGACACTCACAATAAGCAGTTTAGAAAGTGTGGGCTATTTCAGAGCGCAAGAGTTGCCCGGGGGGGGGGGGGGATTTCGCAACGTTAACAAGACTGTGATGTGTTTAACATGGACATGCATCAGTGCCAAATGTGTTGGTTTGTTAGTTCTCTCTGACTCTCTGTGTGTGCAGGATGGAGGCAAAGCTCTGGAGGAGGCCATGTCCAACAACAGCAGCCTGACAGAGTGCGATATCCGTCTGACGGAGGTTGAGGAGCAGAGCGCGTCCTTCGTCAACCAGGTGGTGTGGACAAACCAGAGTTTAGAACAAAGGAGACACGCTCGGGAAAGTAAAACCAAAAAAACATCAACAGCTGTTTATTGAAATACAAACCCATATTCGTTAGTGTTTCATTCCTGCTGTCCAGTATTCATTAAGCCACCGAGCTTGGCTGCTATTGGTTGATTTTTAACAAAATGTCAGCACCCACAAAAACACAACATATGGAGTTATCTTGTCCATAGTAGCATCTATCTACAGCACCTTTGGATAATTACTATTTGCAGCTTTGAATTATTGCGCCTATTTCAAATTTGGTTTTGTAGATTTTTCATACACAAATAATTGGCACAATATAAATGGTGTAAATGTGTAAAAACCACAAGATAGTGATATTATGTGTTATCATATCATAGCATATTAAAACATAGACCATGTATACATTTGACTAGTGTATCACTAGGGTAATAAGAAATAGTTTGTATAGTTCCTAACCCTGACGTTATAATTTGTTGTCTATTCATTTGGTTTCAGTCACGGGTATATCTAATTCTAGGGCAAGTTAAAATAAATACAAAATATATAGTTAATAATTTCCAATTGCATTCAATTTGTTATCAACAAAGGTTTGAATGTAAACAAAATGATATTTGGTGCAGCCTTAAATCACATTCTGACGTTTTCTTACAATTGTCATGAATTAATTTTTCACACAGTTTTTTGTGAGCATTTCAGTTTATTGAGGAGCCTTTTTGTCATTCTGATACACAGATTTGGTTTTCAGTCCTTATGTAACATCAAGGCCACGTTGTGGTGGTGTTAGAATACATACACTCTCTTGTTGTTGTTGTTGTTGTTGTTTTTAAACCTATATCTACTGACCAATAATATAGAAGAACTTTGCTTAGTGGCAACAAAAAATCTTAACTAATAATCTTGCAAAACTATTAATTTTAGAATTAATAGAATCATTCCAAGAGAAGCCTTCTGTAATGGTGGACTAGCACACTGAGACATCTACATAGGATAAATGACTATCAATAATAACCCAATCATTTTCCTTAAAAAAAATGTTCTTGTGAAGTGTATCAAATATGTTTTTTAAAACGTAAATATGGGATTAAAGGGAAACAAACACCATCAAATAGCAAATGTTGCCTGAATCATTTTACAGCGGATTGTATTGCCGTTTTTGACCAAACAAACCTACCATTCTACATCTGCACATTAAAAATGTCCCTGCCTCTGTTACCACTAATTGTGCGACACATTCCGCTAAGCAGTTCAATTTCACTGCTACGCCGATGACATCCAACTTTATATCTCAACAAAAACCATCACCCCCACAACACACTCCACTCTCACCAACTGTCTCTCAGAAATAAAAGCATGGATGCAAACAAACTATCTTCAACTGAACAGTGCCAATCAGACATCATCATCATCGGCCCCCCATCCCGGACCAAAACCAGCCAGAATTTCAACTTCACCCTTGACAGCAACACTCAACCCATCAGAGACTGCACTGACCTCACACCTTCAAAAAACTTACAAAAACTCACCTCTTCAATCTGGCTTTTAATGTGTGATTGTTGTTGTATTGCTTTATTTTAATTTGACTTTAACTATATTTATTTGTTGTTCTTTTCTTTTCACGATCTCTGTAAAGCGACTTTGAGCACCTGTAAAAGCGCTTACAAAATAAATCTATTATTATTATAAGCACAAGATCCCTATCAACAGTTTCATACTTTATTTACAATACAAACCCTTCCTGCCTTGAAAATCATTTAAATATAAAAAACAAATCCCCAGAGCATTATTGAGTGAAAGAGAACATATCATATCAACAACCTAATCTACTTCATACACATGATAAAGGGTACAGTGCTTCGCATGACAAAAGCTTCAATGCTGCTAACAGTCGTCTACGGAGGAAAAAATGCCTAGTTATGAATCTAGTCAGATTTATAACCCTTTTAAATGTTTTTTTTTTACTGTTATGTAAACATTTCACCGGTAAACACATGTTTTTATATACAGATGTATGGATCACAGTGAAGCCATGTGAGAGGCTTGTTGGCTAATCATGAAGGACATAATGTGACGTCTTCAGTACAAAACATTGAGTAAAGTCCAAAATCCTTTTCTAAATAGATTTAACTTTTTTTTTCTTGTGGACTTTGCATGCTGTTGTGGTGTTCTTATATTTGTACACTTTACCCCACAGTACACGGACAGTATATTATTGCATGCATTTTGACCAATGCATGCTGGGATATGTCCTTAATGAGAATCTCAATGAATGAATGAATGCATCTCAATCGCTCTGTCTTATTTGGTGTCCTGCAGAACGTTGCGTAGCATAACACCTCTTATCCATTAAGGGATAGTTAGACGTTTTTGTGAAAAATGCTTATTTGTTTCTTACTGAGAGAGAGTGAGATGACAAATCAATACCAATCTTATGGCGCATTTCCACTGCAGGGCCTCGCACGGCTTAGTACGGTATAGTTAGGCCTTGGTAGGCCAGGCTCACTTTATGCTGCGTTTTTACAGTTTGGTAGCTGGGGCAGTAACTATAGTAACGCAGTGTAGGCGGAGCCGTGAAGTCATCTTCAATGCGAACCACAAAACCAGCCGTTAGCTGTTAGCACTCAGAGCTCACAGCTCCTCATATCTGTTCAGAAACTAGACAAAAGTTAAACAAGTACAAACCACAGACTGCCTGTGTCATGGCGAATACAGTCGCTGGTTTATTTATGTCTGTATAGGCCGTTGTTGTGAGTGTGGACGGTCGGAGCATATACAACGTTAGCTTAGCCGATCTCCATTCAGTAAACACGCATTTTAAAAGGTTTTTCGCCTGCCGTCTGTCTGCAGACTTGTCAAAGCATTAATACATGGTTTTTACTAACCGGTATCAGTATGTTGTTACTTCGGCATCATTTTGAAACGTGTATTACAATTAAATCACGGTCAAATATGTTCATTTTGTTGTAGTTGTAGCTCCCGAGCCAGCGATTCTCTCTGACCATTCAGCAGTCGAGAGTGTTTACGTCACTAGTTTAGCATATTCAGCCCGGTTGTTGGCCCGGTAAGAACCTCGATTTTGGAGGGCCAGAAAAAAGGTGAAAAAGTATCCCTGAGCCGGAACTACCCCTAGCGGAAAAGCAAAAAAAAACGGGCCGGGTTTAGTACGGCACGCTTAAACCGTGCTACGCGCTGCAGTGGAAATGCGCCATATATATATGTAGGGGCTTGGACTGGGAGCTGTAGGGTCGCCGGTTCAAGTCCCCGAACATATGGAGTGTGGACTGCTACTTGGAGAGGTCCCAGTTCACCTTCTGCCATTTTTAGTATTGCTATAAAGATAGTCTGCGACTCCAAACAAAAAATGCTATGTAATGAGTATGGCTAATTGTTTACAACTGTTCAGTGCAGGGTCATTGTTGTGACAGGAAGAAACACCATATGTCCAACCACAGGCGAGATTATATTTAATATTCATGGTCATTCTAATGGTTTTTATGGCCGTAAGGAATGGGGGAGAATGAATTTATCTTCACCTTCAGGTCTTATGAGTTGTAGGCTGCAGTTCCACATTGATCTCTCTAATTCTATAGTTTAAATAAGCTAAATTGTAACTATTACCTAATATTTGGCAGTTTTGGCATGCCTGATTTTATCCTCCCATTTATTGTTGTGCATCGCTTGGCTGTACACTAATATCCGCCATGACTGACATACTGCATGAGGTCATTTCAGAGGATGTTCTTTAAAGTAATCTTGTCATATTATTAAATCTGACACTATCAGTAGTGAATCCAGGCCTCTGCCTATTTCCAGCGTCTTTGATGGCGAGCTCTCTGATATGCATCAGCAGCAGCATCAGTGTACGAGAGCTGGGTTATATCATGAGGGAAATCATTTGAAAACATTTAGATTTTTTTAACCTTGTGTGTGTTGAAAATTACTTATATCACATTTCTCCAATGAGCTATTACAGGTAGGAATTCAACTTGTTTTGATGCGATGTTAAAATTAGATTAATTTAGTTATGATAGTTTATGCTCTACAGTAACAGTTCATCGCTAGGCACTTAAACAAAGAGGTAGGCTAAATAGAAATATTGCCTAATATAAAATGAAATGCATCTTTGAGATGTTTAGACTTGCTGAGTTAACACTGAACTATTCATATTCTGGTGAGTTTTATTACTTTGTAGTTGTCTGTTAAAAAAAGGTTAAATTATTTGGTAATTGATAGTTTGAAGAAGTTGTTGTTTATTCAGTTTGAAGATCTCGTGTCCTTTAGCCCTCCTGTGCTAAATTATTCATCGACTGTGCTGCTATATTTAGGAAGCCAGGAAGTATAATGTCATCGCAGCCGAGCTGATTTCAGTTAACTAGATATTTCTGCATCTGCATCCGACATACATTTTTATACTGTGGAAATCTATTACTTAGAAAATTGATTATTGACTTTGAATGACAGATTTTAACCAGCGTTTAACATGCGCATGTTTTTTATGCTAAATCTGAGCCTTAAGACCTGTATTTTGTTTCAGCAAAACATCTCGTCGTGTTTGCTTTGACAAGAAGGCTGATATCTTTGCATTTTACCTCACAGTTCAGCAAATTGACTCACAAGAAGTGTGAGTCAATGATTTTCTAAATATTTATGTTATTTTCCATTCACAAGTCCAATAATTGTCCTATTCCTTTCATGTCTTGGCAATTGAATAGGCTACCACTGAGTCATACCCATCAAATACTTCAAACTACTCATGTTACTCATCAAGTCCTTGACTGTGACTAAGATCTACAAATATGGCATTTACAGTAGGATGTGAATCCCCTTGGTATTCCTTGGTTATTTGACTCTTGTCCTTGTTGACGCTGTACATTATGTGACACATTTTGGTCCTTTAAAACCATATTTCCTATAACAGTCTTATAAACAGCATCACGTCTGTTTTATCCAGACTATGCATGGACTTTCCCATGTGAACTGGTTCTTGTTTGTTGAGGCTACAGTTTCTTTAGAAATTAGAAAAAAATCCTTGTTTGTGGTAACTTGCAGTTATCAATGTTCTAGAAGGGGGAAGCAGAAGTCAGTGTTAGCCGAGCCCTTTTCCCTCTGTTCCTGTGTTGCTACAGTCTATTCTCAGAGTGGTCTGTGTGTCATAGAGAAGTCTCCACACAGGAGCCGTTTCTGTGCAGGGAGCGGTGATCGTGGTTGAGGCAGCCCTCGTTGCGATGCACTATGAGCACAGGGAAGCAGAGAGCGTCCTGGTAGTCTGGAGGGTTCTCCTCACTGCTCTGCTGGCCTGAGAGGCAGCGAGTGCTCTCTGTGGGGCAAGACCGCTCGTTCAGGCTCCCGCTGCTCCTCCACAGGCAGCTCCGCCTCGAGCCGTACAGCCGACCCAGAGAGAAGCGGCTGGCGCTGAAGGGGATTCGGGGGCTCCCTGTGTTGCAGATGCTGAGGGCGCTGCGAGAGAAGATGGAGGAGCTGCTGATGGCACGGTGGCAGCATTCACAATTCTGCCTGTAGCTGTCGTAACCTCCACACACAGAGTAGTTGTTAGAGCTTCCCGAGAGCTGAGCCAGATCCATGAGAACTGCCTCCGAGTAGCTGGGCACCAGCTGCTGGTTGGATCGGATGTGCCACTCCAGCTCCGTGCTGTCGATTGTGTTTACTCGTGGGATGTGTCTGCATTGTGGCTGCTCCTCAGATGGCATTGCTGGCACAAAGTCAAAGCCAAACAGCTTCTCTACATGGTAGTGTACACAGGCCGTGCGGTACTCTATCAGCACGCGCAGCGGCCAGGAGAGCGTGAAAGCAGCTGCCGTCCAGAAAGTGGAGTTGGCTGCATACCAGGGAAGGTGATTTGGGTCAGAAAAGGCAACCATGTTCTCTTTAAAGTCTACATTCTTCAGGTGCATCCCCTCACGAGCCTCCATGTAGTCGTCCTGGCCCTCGTTCTCTGTGAAGAAACTGGCCCGCTGCGTCAGGTAGGAGTTCTCCGACTCCACATTGGCAAAGCTAAAGCACTTAGTGAACCTCAGCCGGGTGATAGGGAAGTCCTCCATGCCCAGCAGCTGCTTTGCGATGTCCTTAGCCCCACAGTTCCCGTAGTCAAACTCCGCCTCAGCCACGTGTGTGTTGACTCGCTCGTGGTAGACCTGGGTGGTGGTGTAGGCATCTCCGTTACGGTAGCGCGTCACCTGCCGCGTCCTCCTGATGTAATGATAGCTGATGGCCTTCCACCAGATGCAGGGTGTAGCCTGCTGCATTCGCTGGATACGCTCCGCCACGCTTTCCACATCCACCTTGTACTGCAGGTCGTTCCTGGTGTAGCAGTGCCAACACTCCACCAGGTAGACCACGTA